TTTCCACGGAGTCAATAATAAAAAATAAAAAAAGTCGAGCCCGACAAAACAGTTTATTTTTTATCGATCGAAGAGTGGACGAATAACATTAAAAATGCCATTATAGCAGCATGCTTAATATTATTACATTGCGTCTAGCGTCTTCGTTGCTGTTCAGTGTGGACTAACACAACAAAACATATTGTGAGCAATTAAATAATTACTTTTACTAATCAGGAACGGACTCCGAATTTAAATTATTTTCTTTAGCAGAAAAAGCTGTGTGCAAATTTTGTCACACTCTCTGCCATGTTGTTCCATCATTGGATACAGAAAAGTCAACATCACAAAGCAATAAGAAAGGATTTTTTCAAAAGTGGATCTAATAAATAGTACATAATGTAGGAGACAATGCTTTAAGAAGAAATAAAGGAGGACTGCAGAAGTTGTGAAAAGAGGCAATTGCTCCCTCCATGCATTTGCTTGTATTTTTAGGGTACGTCAGATTATTAAATGTCTGCTAAAACCACACAGTTGAATAACGATAGGAATACTGCCTAAAAAATAGAAAAATAGCTGGAAAAGAACACTAATTGATTGAGTACGAATCCCAACCGATAACATATGGAGATGAGGGTCATCTCTAAACAATAATAGATATTGAATAAAAAGCAGATAAACCGGAGAAAATCAACTACAAACAAAGGAAAAGAAGAAGAATCGCAAGCAGCAGCAACAGCAGCAGCAGAAAAGAAGAAAGAAGGAAATATTTAATGTACTTTCATAAAAACAATTGCAATATAATGTAGTATATCATGTTTAATGAATCAAATGCTTAAAGGCCACATGCTGACTGTTTTATCTTCAAATGGCTAAGCTATGTGTAATTCACATCTATTTCAAATGGTACGGCCAGTCATAAAGAATTTTAACCATTTTATAAATTTTTGTTGTTACAAAATTTGAATCTACCACAATCAAATGCTTCATATCAATACAATTTGATACAACCAGAAGTACCTGGTTTTGTTAAATGATTTTGCTTTAAACTTCTTGACTGCGTAATAAGATGTTATGGGCCAAAAAGTCAAAAAAGGTTCTTTTCACAAGAAAAAACATGAATATGGAACTACAACCTCCAGAGTTTTTAAACACAAAACTTAACTTTGTAACAGAGGTGAAGTACCTAGGTTTCACCTTTGACAGCAAGTTAAAATGGAACTCACATCTAGAAAATAAAGTAAAAAGCATACATTGTCTTCGAACCGTGGGGAATCCAAAAACTGAACAGCTATCCCCAAACTAGAACAAATTCAAAGAACAGTATAGCCCAACATGACAAGAGCCATGAAAACCACACCAACCAGAGCCATGGAAGTCATTTTAAGTCTTACGCTCCTTCATATTTACATCAAGGAGGTTGCTCTGACGACAATAACACGCCTCGGCATCCAAGGCAGCAGACTGACGACATTTTGACGACATTTTTTGGTAATACTTGGTCATCGACGTCATGTTACCAAAAAATGAGGTGATTATGACGTCACTTCTTTAACGTCTTTTTGACGTCACAAATTCGACGTCACTGTGACGTCAATTTATTGTCACTATTAAATTAAGGTTAATATTAAACGTTATTTCAATACATTTTATTTATGTAAAATAATATGGCCTAAACAATTATTTTTAAAACTGTTAGGTCTATTAACGTTTAAATCTGGCGCTTAAATGCATAAAGCACATACTTTGATTACTATACGACGCAAGAGAGAGGTCCGACACGCCCAACATAGGGCGCGGTCATTTTGAACCCTGTGACACAGTTTACAGCTAAAGAATCAGATCGCTCACTCTGCGTCGGCACTTTGGATCTCTATGTTTCAATTTATACACTGTGCAACTCGGATAATACAATATATGACAACCGCCTATAATAAAACAGCAGTCTTCTGCGTATCCTGAATTTGTATCCCTGGAGTGGATGTTATTTTGCAACTTTCAACTGGTCCGAGTGAGCTAACTGATTCTTTAGCAATAAACTGTGACTTCAAAAATAATATTCACTGACACTGACAGCAGCAAGCAAAATATCAGGTGCGTTTTAATCATCCGCTTCTGCTTCCGGAATTGTCGGTTTAGTCGTTTTAACCTGTCAGATTAAAACAAGAAAACCGACAATTCCGAAGCAGAAGCGGGTGATTAAAACGCACCTATTAAAAATATTGCGCCAAGATGTAGGCAACACGTAATAAGGGTTCAAAATGGCGGAGTTTTCTATCTCCTTTTAAAAGGCACTCAGAAAGCTGCGCAGTGCGACCATTCTCCGTATAGTAAAAGAAAATCAAAGTATGTGGCATAAAGATTGTATGACACCACGTGACATATGACTGCGTCTGTCTGTGGTTATCGGTCTGTGGAGTATGGCTCGTGTGTGTTCGAGCCGTTTGAGCAAGCACGAGAACGGTATCGCAGATTGTTGCATCGGCCATGTGTAATGATGTATGCATCGTAGATCGTGGCCCGTGTGCATTCAGGATTGTTGTTAAAAGTTAAGAAAAGGTCAGTGAAAAAAGTTATAACAGTATCAACCCAGCATAAGGTATTTTTATATCTATATTATCCTTATTCTTTAATGATTTTATATCTTTTACATTTATAGGATGTTTCCTAAAATGTTCCCAGGTTCGTGAAATAGTATAAAATGGCGGCATGTAATGTTTTTTGCCAATAACATTACATGTATTTAAACTGTTTTTTCTTTTTAATTATAATTATTTCATTTTCCAATTTTGTTTTATTAAGTTACCAACAGTTCCTATAGAAAAGTTACAAAGGAGTAACAATATCAAATGTAACGTCATATTAGTCAATAACTATAAAGAATAACGACAAAGGTGACATTAAAACAACGTTATAAAAACGTCATAATGACGTTATAAAGACTACTAGGAAACGTCATAAACACGTCATATTTAGACGTGAAAAGGCCGTCTAAATATGACGTCATTTGGGCTGTGACATATTCGCGTCATTTTACCGTCATTATCACGTTAGTTTTCAGAGGATAAATGACGTCCTGTATGACGAAAATAAAATTTCATAATGACCTTAGTCTGCTGCCTGGGATTATTAAATAGAATCCGAAATAGGATTTAATGAGGCGAGATGTCGCTTTTGGTAGGAGGCGATACGCTCCCACTTCTGCAAGCAAACATGGACCCCATCTCACCGACATATATCTTCCATAAGCCATATAAACAAAACAAAGAGAAGAGCCGGAAGTGGCAGGTACGATTCATATCTACACCGACGGTTCTAAAACAAATGAAAGTATAGGATATGGAATATACTACAGATCCTTAAACTTGAACATAAAATAGGCTCACCTCAGGTTTGTACTAGAATCTCACGAAGCTTTGGCCGAAGTATTTGTCAACAATGTGGTCAAAGGTCCTGCCACATCGAAAGGTAACCGTCTTACTGATTTATTATCTAAGAAAGCAGCCAACTTTTTGGACTTGGCCCTTTTACTGGACTGACAACATCGGTAGTGACAAACCCAATTAAAAAACATTCCCTTGTAAAAATCAAGTAGAGATGGGATGAAACAAGAGGCTGAAGAATTGCCAGGGAGCTTCTAAGTCATCCTGATAACTCTACAGCAAACAAATACTTGACCAAGACTGAATCTGCGCTTGTTCACAGCAATTCTGACTGGTCAAGTAAGGAGGCGTTTCCATTATATGGGGTTGTTCGAATCCAAACTCTGCAGGGGATGCAAAAAAGAAGATGAGACCATCGAGCATATCCACTACGATTGCATGACGCTCTTACGAGTACATATTAGAAGATTTGTGTTTGGCGAGAATCGGCTAATACCGGCCGATTTAAAAGAAGCCCCTCTTGGCGACGTTGTCAACTACATTAAAACTGTAAACTGGCTTACCAGCTAGGAGGTGCCTGTCAACTTAGTAGTATGCACAATGGGCCTAGTGGGGCCTATGTGTCGAGTGTTAACCCACCCTCCAACGTTACAGATACAGAAGATATTAAGATATTATGGGGTCCTTTATAAAAAATATATATATAAATTTAGTTGGAAATATATTTCTCGGTTATTTTTGAAAAAACAGATTAGCAAATAGTGTTCTAGATTGTCATCATTTCTTTATATAAAACGGAATAATTGATGTCTCTGAGACAATTTTAAAAATTTCTCTGTATAACTGATAGTTTTTTTTAATGTTACTAGAAAATATTTGAATATCTGATCCTCTTACTTTTGGTGCTGGTCCCTGTATAATTTTTAATACTGCAATAACAGATACTAAAATAAAAGATGACATAATTAGATGTGGTTTAGAAAATGCGTTCTCAATCTTCAATTTTCAATAAAAATAAAATATTATACCCTAAATATTTTTGTAACTTTATAACTTATATCATTGAACTAATACAATTTGTTCAAAAACGGTAGTCCGGTTCTGTTAAATAGACAATTATTTTCCGATCGATTTTTCTAAAAATACACCCATTCCTATACAAATCTATCATTTTTGTCCAACTTGCTTACACACACGGAGTCTGATAATCGCATTCATCGAATAGAGATTAAATTTTCAAAAAAAAAAAAAACAAAACAAACAAAAGCGAGAAATGACTGCATCAGTCACTTGAGCTTTTCCTCGCACCAAATAACGGTCACAGGTATTGTTATTGACAATATCGAAATTGACCAATAAAAAATCTGTCTTGAAGGCGAGATAGTATGATAATGGCCGGTATAGAAGGTGTTGGATTATACCGAGTGTGACCGTTGAGTCGTGCTAATCTTTAAACGTAAACCGCGATTGTAACTTAATGGGATTACTTTCGTTTTTTATTTTGACTAGATTTTATTGACGGAAGCAACATGGGTAGTGTTTAATTTTTTTTTCTAAATTAATGATTTTTGAATGTTTCGCTTTTAATTTGGGATATCGGATGTTGTATATCGACTGAAGTGTATTTTTTGGTTTTAGGGTTGGATTTTATCGAAGGACAAGGAGAGGATTTTGAAAGAGCTTTAGAAAGCACTGGTAAGTTTTTAATTAATTTTATTATTATTATTTTTTAAATGGCTTATCTGTGGTAGTTGAGTTTTAGTAAAATAATTTAAATAGGCATAAAAATTTTAAAATTAAAATAAGATTTCCTGGGTATGAATTTTCATATATAGAGTGTTCCTAAATGTCATGTCACTTTTGATCATTTTATGATTAAAATTTCACATAAACATGTGTTATAAATCGCGATTTTTTTTAAGATACAGAGTGTTAATTTTTTTTAAGAAATCGCTTTATTTAATCCCCCAAACACTCTTTTGACGATTTTGTAGGTTTATTTGTAATAGGTACCTACAAAGAGGCTAATTTAAAACTAGATTAAAGTCATGTATCTTAAAAAAAAACAATTTAGAGCACATGTTTATATTGACATTTTAGTTATAAAATATGCTATAGTTATAACTTTTTTTAATATTAATATTATATTTAGGAAAATCACCATTTAAATTTTAAAATTTCTTTACCAAAATTATTTTTAATTTTATATTTTCCCGTTTTTATTGACAAATATTTTGGTAAATATTAAATAAATGATAACCCAAATCTATAGGATAATGGGTAATAAAGAAATAAATATTTTACGATAACACTATAGTAAAAAAAAATAAAAATTTTCCCTCTTCGATACTGGAAAAATGTTTGTTTTCTTTTCTTGACCAAAAAACAATTTTAAAAACTCTGCAACATTCATACATTTTTTATCTAAGTGTACTTAACTTACTGGAAAAATTTTAGTTATACAAATTTAATCTAAAAATTCAAATTTTATCCATATACTCCCAGAAAATTTAGAAATCCCTGTTAAACATGTTTTGTTTATTTTGTGGATTTTTGAAAATATAAAACATAGTAATCCTTGGTATTATTAAGTTACATTATATTAAATTTTTTGGCTTGAAATTTTCGTAATTTTCGAGAATTATACTTTGATTTGAAAACAATTTTTCCTCTTCGATAGTACATAAAAGTTTGTTATTTACTTGGTCAAAAACAATTCTAAAATCTCTAAAAAATTTATAATTTTTTTACCTAAGAGTACTTAATTAACTCACTGTACAAATTTTAGTCATACAAATTTAAACACTATCTAGAAAGTAAAATTTTTTCCATATAATTCCAGAAACAGTTTTGATAATTTTTTTACGACTATTTTGTGGATTTTTTAAAAATTTAGGAAGTTCCTATTATTCCTTGATATTAATTATATTATTTAAAAATGTTTTCTTACATTTTTTCTAGTTTTCGAAAAACGTACCTATAATTTTCCCTTCTGATGCGGGAAAAAGTTTGTTTCTTTACTTGGCCAAGAAACAATTATGGTATATCTGAAAAATTTATGATTTTTTTACATAAGTTATCTCAGCTTCCTGTAAAAATTTTAATGATTCAAATTTAAATAATATCTAGAAAGACAAATTTTAACAGTTATATTTATTTTTCTTCACGACAATTTTGATGATTTTTTTAAATATATATTTCTAATTAATCCTTGTTATTATGTTTTCTTCTAGCTCTTGTTTGATTTCCTCATTTGTTTTAATTCTGTATTTTTCTTCTGTGATTTTAATTGGTATTGATATTGCTTTCATAATTTTTTTTCCATAATTCTTAGATCTTCTTCCTCTTTTTTTGTCATGCTCATTGTTTCTGCTGCATACATTAATATTGGTCTGATTATTGTGTTACATATTTAAATTTTTGTGTTTTTTGTCAGTAATTTACTTTAAAGTAAATTTTTATTTGCGTTAAAGGCTTTATTTGTAGACTATTTTTTCTGTTTCCAGTTTTAGCTATTTGGATTTCCAAATATTTAAATTTTTGCATTTCTTCCTATTTTAATACTTTTTGTCCCATAATTTTTTCTTACTTTGCAATTTCGTTTGTTTTGTTTTTGAAATTGTCACTGCATATGCAATGACTTATCCTACCTATATTCTCATTGTCCCTTTATTAATTGTCCTCGTCACATACTCTATTGAGAGGCTGATAGCGAATCTCCTTGCTCTACTCCTTCATTAATTATGAACTCTTTTGTCGCTTCTTTTTCTGTTTTAATGTTAATTTTTGTTTCTCGTATCGTCATTGTTATTAACCGCCTTAACTTTATTGGTATTCCAAATTTTTGTTGGGCCAGCTATAGTTTTGTTCGTTTTATTTAGTTAAAGGTTTTTTTAAAGTCATAAAAAGCATTTTTAATTTTATTTTGTGTTCATACACCTTTTCCGTTCTTTGCTTTATTGCATGAATTGCATCTATAGTTGAATTCTCTTGTGTGAATCCACATTGGTACTGTCCTGTCACAATTTTTATGGATTGTTATCATCTCTTCTATTTTCCACTCTCTCGGCATTTTTTTATTTTTCCATATTTTCTAATTTAGAAATAGTCTTTCTTTTAATTCGTTGCCTCCATATTTAATGAGTTCGATGTTAATTCTATCTTTTCCTGGTAATTTTCCATATATGTAAATTTTTCCCAATGACCTTTTCTATCTCTTCTCTTGTTGGATCAGCAATTATGTCACTTTCTTCTATTTCCTCTTCATCTATCATCTCAGATTCTTCCTTCTCCGGATCGATTAAGAGATTTTTAAAATAATCTATCCATACCTGCATATTTTCTTTATCTTCGTCTTCTAGTATCACTTCTCCTTTTTTATTCCCTTAGTTTTGTCTTTGTAGATTTTGATCCGTTCTTTAATATTTTCTTGTAAAAGTATTTTTTATTTTTTTACTTTCTTTTTGTTTAATTATTTTTGTTTTATTGTCTATTCACCCTCTTTTATTTATTCTTATAAGTTTCTTTGATTTGTTTTCTCAGTTCTTCATAGGCCATTTTATCTTCTATTTTATTTGTTTAAAGCCACTTGATTCTTGCTTCTTAATTCAGTACATTTTTCATTGTACCGTTATTTTCTTACTTTTTATGTGCAACCCCAACATTTTCTTCTGCTGCTAATTCTATGCTTTCTTTAAAGACTTTCCATTCTGCTTCTATTTCATTTGTTCACTTTTTTCTTTTTGTGATGAGTACGTGATGAAATTGGATGTACGTTTCTTCCTCAGGTGATATCCAAGTCACTTTATGCATTTTAAGATGTTTACATTTTGTAGAACCTATGATCATATTAAAGCCTCTAAGCACTATTATTACATCTTCCTTCGGCTTTTTTCATTTATTCATATACTTTATCGTAGGAAGCCTCTTTCTCCTCTGGTTTGGTTTGGATTAATATATACGTCTCATATTAAGCAATAATATATTGAATAGTGTTGCTTTTACTGGTAAGTTATTCTTTCATCTGTTGAGTTAACTTATTTTGTTTTTTTTGTAGATCATCTAGCATCATAAATCCCAAACAATACTCTCCCTGTTTTTAGTTCCCCAAATAATGTAAAGTAAATCCTTTTTTTATTTCCATCTTACTTCCTGAATTACTGCAACACCTATGCCATACCTATTAATTTTTTCGCATTTCTTGCATTTTTCCAGGTTCTAACGTTGTTCTAATATTCCAAGTACTTATTCTCAATTCACTTCTGCATTTTCTTCTATTTTTGGTTTTCTTTTCTCTATCTTTTTTTAATTCACCATTCTCTGCTTTATTTTCATGAGTTTTTGTTTCTGCTTCTTGTCCAGTTCTTTGCCAAGTCGTTGCTTTCATTTCCCGTCCTTTGTTATCATTTTCTTTCCCTATACTGTCTGCTAGGATTTTAGAGTGTCCTCCCTATTTCCAGTTTTGTTCGTTGTCTTCTTTATCATTTCATACTGTTCTGCCTCCTTATCTAGTGATCTTTCGCTGAATGTTATTCCAACTTTTTCTTTTTCTATTGGTTTTTGTTAGACGTGCAGTTGTCTTTTCATAACTTAAATCTTCTACTTTATATATCTTATCATTTATTTATATTCTATTGTAATTTGTTTGCTTTAAGTCCAATCTCTTTGGGTTCCTATATTTTGAATAAAATTTATGATTTATTTGTAAATATAGACGAAATAAAAATAAAAATGCTATTATTTATCTATTCTACAGAAGAATAACTCATTTTTACGTATATTTAATCTCAATTATAACAAAAAAACAAAACTGAAAATTAGTTTGATAGAATTGTCACTTATTTAAAATAAAAAAAAAAATAGTAGCCGGGTGACCAAAACATGAAATGTGACTGGGATTTTCTTTTTTTGCAGTGTTCTAACTAGGTAGAATGTATACGAAATATAATCGTTCAGTTGATGGCAATGGCATACTTTTTCGTTTAGTCTGTACGTAGATAATGTAGTATCCATGTGGGTATAAAAAAAGTTTATTTATTTGCTTGGTCAAGAAACAATTATGGTATCTGAAAAATTTATGATTTTTTTACATCTAGAATGAAAATTTTAGAAAATTTTAGAAAATTTTATCCATATATTTCCAAAATATTAAGAAAGTCTTGCTTAAGAGTTTTGTTTGTTTTTCTTCTCGAAAATTTTGTTGTTGTTTTTTTAAATATTGTTATTATAGAGTTACGTTATTCAAAAATATTTCCTATAATTTTTCGTAGTTATCAAGAAAAGTACTTTATTTTTTTTATTGAAATAAACGTTTCTTGCTCTTTGATTTAAAATGCAATTTTAAGGAATCCGTAATTGAGAATATATGGATTCTAGGAAAAACTATTATATTTTTAATTGAAATTTATTATTTTTTGTATATCGGTGTTTCATTAGCAAACTGTAAACTATTCTACGAGTATAAATTTTTTAAATATTTATACCGAGAGTTTTAAACAAAATGTATATTTATCAAGAAAGAAATAAATTTCAAGGTAATTTCTTTATTATCATAATACAGTAAAAAATCTGTGCTACGTGTTTTAATTAAAACTCCTCTTAATTTGCATAATCAAGAAAATTTTGATAAAACTACAATACGAAAAAAGCTTCTCGAATTTGACCAGTATACAAAATAAAATAAGATATCCAAAAAG